GCTGTTGGGAGTAGTTCGTCCAGCTAATTGCTGGGTTTTAGTTCCTCTGACCAGGGCTGGGGAGACTAGTGGTTAGAACTTCTGGCCCTCACAGCATCTGGCCCAGCGGAGGTCCTGTGGTAACTTCATCACCATTCAGATCTGCTCTAAGAAGACAGGACTTCTGGCCATCGTACAGTTCCAAACACTGACCCTGGCCCGTTCCCCAGGCGTAAGGGATGCTTTGCCGTGGCTGGTGGCCCTCCTGAGGTCTCTTTCCCACCTAACCCTCCCCCTGTACCCAGCCTCCTAGCAGGGCAGATCCTAACAGCCCTGCAAGAGAAAGCTTGAGGCGTTGGAGTGGCGGGCGGGGCAAGCAGTGATGCTGAGATGTCACATCCAGGGCAGGTAGAAAGGGTCCTCATGTGCTGAAGGGGATTCTGGGAGTCCACAGGGCAGGAGACAGCAGGTGGTGTGTGTCGTGTGTCTGGACTGATGACACTGCTGTTCATAGGGAGGGCTGTCCCTAGGTGCCATGTCTAATGCTTGTCCCATGTGCCCCACGCTGAGTGACATACCACAGGGGGTGGTGTGCTAGCAGTGATCAAGGTGCTTGAGATCCTTCCTTACCTGAATCAACTCAGTCCTCTGACGTCTCAGTGCCCCATCCAACTGAGGGACAGGGACATAGTTCCTGCTTACCGTTTGAAGGGAAGAATGAATCCATGGAGTGGCATGGGACAGAGGGACAGAGAGGACTCAGATCCCTGCTGCTCACTTGTAAGCTGTATGGCTTCGGGCAGGCAGGTCACTGAGCTTCTCTGCGTCTAGGTGCTCTGGGTTGTGAATTAGGACCTGTGGCACACTGACCACTGCAGTCGTAAGGGCTCAGTAAACCCGTGAGAACTTTCTCCAGGTCTCCATCCACCGCTGAATCTGCCTGACACCACCGGTCCCACCAAGTGGGACTCATTCTTCAAAACTCCATCTCCCAGCTTCCCCGTCTCTCACGAATTGCTCAGGCCTCAGCCTGCCCTACTAGAGAGCCAGCCGGCTTCTGCCCAGTTTCATGGGGGTCTCCTCGGGATGCCTCTCCCGTCCAACCCTCTCTCCGTGGCCCTTGTCTCCCTCCCCATCGTCAATCCCACCCGTTAGTTCGGTTCTCCCCAGAGGACCATCTAGGCTGGAAGTTTCTGGAATGTGGTAGATAAAGGCCCCTGCACTGGAGAGGTAGCTCAGTTGATTCTTTAATGTAGGCTCTGGATCCCATAGTCAGCAGTAGGAGCGCGAGGGAAGAGCCCTATACCAGGGAGGAGGGCCCCAGAAGCCTGGGCACCCCATGCCCCTGCCCTGCCTGCTCCCTGGAGAAAGGTCCCAGTCCCTCCTATTTCCCAGCCAGGAATCCTGCTGGTTCCCACATTACCACATGAATGGGGCACATGCCCCCCTGTCCACTTGAGCAAACAATTTGGCTAGCAAATTGACATAATTACCAAAGACTGGGAAGAAAGAAGCCCCCACCCCTTGGCCCCCCAGAGGGTGGCTCCTGCAGAGTTCCTCCGGGGCTTTGTAGGCTGGGGCGCTCAGGGCTGATTAGGGACCTTGTGGCCTTTTCAAGAGCCCTAAGTGATTGGTCCCCTTAATCTGATTACAATTTGCAGAGCCCCTCCAGCCGCCTCTGAAGGGCTGCTCTTGAGCACCCTGCTCGATCAGCCCTCAAGTACACACACACACACACACACACACACACACACACACACACACACACACACACACTGATATATTAGGCTGCCTATTTTTAAAGCGCCCTACATACATACTACACCCAGGCCAGAGCAGCTGTGCGCACTCCTTCAGGCATAACTACTCATCGCCCCACCCATCCCTCCTCCAGGTGGCCTCCTCAGCACCCAGGACCAGGCCGTGGGACCCCATCAAGGGCAGACTGTCTCCTCAGTAGCTTTGTCTGGGCTCCCGGGCCTGGCTCCCAGGGGATTAGTCTCAGCAGGCAATCTGGACACAGAGCAGGTTGCTCCAGCCCCCGCCTGGGAACTCCGCTCATGGCAGTCAATGGTCCAGGCACTCCACATCCAATTGGGAGCTCTTAATTCCCTTGGCCCAGTGACAATGGTGCCTTTTCCCATCCTCGCTGCTGCCTGTCACCAGCCTCCGCCTGGCCTCCTACCCCCACTGTTTCTCTCCTGCGGCTAAGTACCCCCTCTCTAGGAATAGGGCTTGTGTGGGGCTCTCCAGGGTGACCTCCACCTTGGCGTACCATCCTTGGGGAAGCCCTGCCTGGAAACTCAATGAGAATAGTGGTTGCGTGTTGGAACCCCACACAGTTCAGCCCATCCTGAAAACAGGTGGACTGAAGGCTGGGCCTGGAGTCAGAGAGTCTGTCTGGAGCAAGTGGCTAGGGGCATGCACCAGAATCAGAGGCCCATGTCTCACCTCAGGCTGTCTTTGAGAACACGCTTACTTAGCCGGGCGGTGGTGACACATGCCTTTGATCCCAGAGCTCAGGAGGCAGAGGCAAGCAGATCTCTGAGTTTGAGGCCAGCCTGGTCTATTGAGTGAATTCCAAGACAGCCAGGACTACATGGAGAAATCCTGTCTTGAAAAAATTTCGAGAGAGAGAGAGAGAGAGAGAGAGAGAGAGAGAGAGAGAGAGAGAGAGAGAAACTAATACTTGGGAGACTGAGGCAGGCTAGATATGGAATTCCAGGCCAATCTGAACTGTATAGTGAGACCGTCTCTCCCCCATCCCACCACAGTGACTTAAGTAGGGTGTTATGATCTCTCGACCTCAGTTTCCCCACAGTGGTAAACTTGGAAGGCTACAGCCACTCTCTTGGAGTGGCTGGAAAGTTGAATGACTGGGCGTGTAAGGGAGGGCTTCGGCATAGTGCCCAGCTTAGCGCTCAGTGCACACAGGAGAGGGAACCCTGAAACACATCCATAGGACACGGGCAGGGCAGCCCTGGCGGACCCGCGAGCTCCCTGGGAACCTTTGCAGTCCAATTGTCTGGTACAGTGCCCTAGCCCCCAGCGCTGTGAGACCTCATTCCCGTTCACATCACGTTAAGGCCACCTCTGCCCAGCTCGCTCCGAGAAAGGGGTTGGGCGTAGCTTCCGAGGCAGCCTGATGTTGCCCGAGGGCAGAAGTCTGTCGGTCGCTGTCCTCGGTGCCCAAGTCCTGTGATCAGCGGATCGTGGGGGAGCGCCACACCACAGTTTCCTCAAAGCCTGGCCCACCATTGGCTTTTTATCAGTTTGGGAGACGGTTCAGAGAGACCCGACGTGTGGCCCTCCGGAGGATCGTGTTCCCTCCTCTCCGAGGCCACCCCGCCTCCCGGACCCTGCCCCTGTCTGTATCCTTCGCAGATCTCTTCCCACGCTCCCTGCACCCCACCATCTGCACGGCCCCTCCAGACCCCAAACCCGTCCCTTGCGCCCCTCCCTCACCTCGCCCCTGCACTCCGCCACCTGCACCCCATTTTTTTTGTCCCCTCCCAGACTCCGCCTCTGCACCTCACCACCTGCGCCCCTCCCACACCCCGCCCCTGCACCCCGCCCTGGCCCAGCAGGGACCCGCTGGGCGGGACCGCGCGGCCATGGGGGAGGGGCCGGGCCGATCAGCTGGAATCAAAGCCGCCGCCCCCTCCCCCGCCACCCCGTCCCCCTGCCGAGCCGCCGCGCACCTCCTCCTTTGTCACAATGTTTTTCAAGCCGGTGAAGCAAACTGTCCAATTAGAGCCGGGGCCTCCGGCTTCCATCTTTGCCGACGTTTAATTAACATGCTCCTCTTGGCAGCTGCTGACAAGTTCCAGAAACAGGTTGTAAAGGGTTTTTGTCTTTACCCAGCATGGAAAATAAGGGGTGTTACATCGCGGAACATGAATAGGTGGTACTTCAGCTTCCTCCTTCTCTCCTCCCCCCTCCCCCTGCTCTGCAAAGTGGAACGGAGCCCTGAGTGTTCGTGTGGGCGCGTGTATGTGTGTGTGTGTGTGTGTGTGTGTGTGTGTGTGTGTGTGTGTGTGAGTGTGTGAATTGCCAGGGAGGCGGGGAGAGCGAGTCGGAGGCAGGAGAGACCAGTCGCTTCCTCTCTTTATCCCTTCCTTCCCAGGAACCTCTGCTCCACAAAAGCTTTGGGTTTCTTTGCTCTGCAGCCCGCACACTTTTTCCCTCCCCTCTCTGCTAGCCAAAGGCAAGCTCGGCATCTTGATTCCTGTCCGTGAGTTTGCCCATGCTATCCCCTTGTTACTTCCTCTTCTGGTAACTCCTGTTCATCCTCCACAACCCCAGCAGGCTACCACCTAGTCACAGACTGCCTCCGCAAGCACGCCTGTCTGTCCAGTCTACCCGTCCATTCCACATCTGGGAATTTAAGGACCGGAAACTTTCCCCCACTGCACAGCAGGAGTGGGGCTGGTCTGGCTGGCGGAGGAAGCGGAGGGCTAAGGAAAGCCCACAGGGTGGGGAGCCCTCCCTCCCTCTCCCTCGCCCGCTGGAATGTACTCAAAGCAAGTTAGTGGCCTTCTCACCAGGGTGGACCATTAACGTGAGGGAAGAGGGGTGCTTGGGGGAAAATGCAGTCTGGTCTGGGTTCCTGGGCCTCCCAGGCTCGATGAACTTCTTGTAGAGAGAGTGGCCCTTTGGGCAAGGGTCTGGGCCAGGCAGGAGGCCAGGTTCTCTGGGACCCTAAATCTTCCACAGGGGCCCTACTGGAGCATTCACACCCATTCTACAAAGAACACCAACAACATTTATTTACTACACAGGATAGAGTGGTCTGGGGTCCCCGGGAACATGGGAGATACAGTTGGGGAACAGGCAGGGCTGGAAGAGTTCATGAAGTGGTACCCCCCTGGGAGGGTCAAGCCCACTCCCACCCCAGCCATTTTCCATAGGATATTGAGCATCATGACCCCAGCCAGGCAGGGGCAGACCTTCTGCCGCGGACCCTGGCTTGGAGCTCACTTTGTGGGAATCTCCTCCATTCTCAGGCAAGGCCCCTGGGATGAAGGGGGTGTGGGAGGTGCTGGAGCCAGGTCAGCAGGCCTTTCAGCTGTCCTGCTCCTGCATCCCCAGGTAGGTCGCTCCAGCTCTTCCCAGAGCTTGGGGACAGTCTTTGAAGCCTGCAGGGAAAGGAGGACAACAGGAGGTGGGCGTGTCCCTCCTGCAGCCTCCTGGGAGCTGTTCTTTTTCTGGAGGAGGTGGACACCAGCAGCAATGGCCACAGTCTGGCTTTGGTCCTCTCTAAAACCTTCTCTCCTGACATGTCCCTTTGTCGCCTACCCTAGAACCAGCTACTTCCAAGCTCTGGTCTCCAAGGAAGGCAAATGTTTATAAGCTCAATGACAACGGCCTTGAAAGACCTCAGTTCCCTCACCTGTTAGCCATGTGGCTTGAATCCTGTGCCTTAATTTAAGAAGATGGACTGCTTACCCAACATGCACACAGCTCTGGGTTTGATGCCGGCACTGTATAAAATGGGTGTAGTGGGACACACCTGTTATTCCAGCACTTGGGAGGTAAGACAGGATGATCAGGAGTTCAAGGTCATCCTTGGCTACATAGTGAGTTCAAAGACAGCCTGGGATATCTGAGATCCTGCCTTTAAAAGGGGTTGGGGGTGGTTGGTTGTGGTGGTACACATCTGTAATCCTAGCACTTGACTGAGGCAGGAGGATGCTTAGTTCCGGGCTAGCCTCGGATATGAACAAGAGGGGGAAAAATTACCCTGCTTCATGGAAATTTCTCAAGGGTTGGTTGGTATTACAGCACCTCATCAATATGATGTGCTCTGTAGAGGGGAAGGAAAAAGGACGGTCTAGCCTGATCTAACCAAGCAAAGCCAGGTCATAGATGAGGAAACGGAAGCCCAATCTCCAAGTCACACAGCAGCAAGCAGTGAGAAAGCCAACTATACCCCTGGGTCTCTTTCTGTATGTTCCTCCAGTCTAGCCTGCCTATCCCACCTCAGGGGCAGGAGAGCTCACACCTTCCTATCTTGATGATTGCTCTTTGCTCCTTTACTATGGCATCTGGCTCTGAGACCTACACCTCTATTGAGAGAACCAGACCACCATCCCCTAAAGACCACAAGGCTTACCTGCTTCTCACCTGCCTTGGGAACTTAGGGTATTAAAGATGCTGAAGGTATTGGAGTTGCTAAGGATACTGGAGGTGTAGGAGGTACTGGAGCAACCAAGGATGCTGAAGGTGTTGGAAGTACCAAGGGTATTGAGTGTACCACAGGAGCAGGATGTTTCTGGGCGAGGTCCTCAGGAATGTAGACAACACTGTTCACCTCTTCGTGAATCTGTGGAGAGAGGAAGCTGCTTTCAGGGTCCAGTCACAGGCAGGCTCTGGTATGTCCAGTGGAGTTAATGGTGTTGGGGGTAAACCAAAGGCTGTGAATGCTGTGTGGCGAGTGCCACCTTGTGGTCATGTTGAGGATCGACTGCCGCGAACACCCCTTTACAGCTTATGATGGGCGCTGTCAGGACGGGCACTGTCCGGGGTGCTGAGGCATGGCAAGAACCAAATAGGGTCCTTGCCCCACAAGAATAATAGCTGGGCAAACACTGGGTGGCGTAAGAGTTCAGACTGCACTCTAGTTTCTTATAAGCACATGAGGGGGTCAGGAGGTTGCACCCATTTTTGAAAGATGAGCAGTATGGCATGTCAGAACTAGAGCTGCATCCCAAAGCAGAGCAAGGGAATGCGAAGACTGGAAATGGATCTGGGAAGTAAAGTAGGGGTGAGGCAGCTCAGCCCTGCCTTCTCACGGCTGTCTCACCCCTTCCTCCGGGAAGACAACCCCGGGGTGCAGGGACAGCTTTCACTTCCAGCAATTTAGATCCCCCCTCATCTAGTCATGCTGAAAGAATATGGCTGAAGATGTGAATATGGGAGAAGATGTGACCTTGGCATTGATGACAAAGGTCACAGCAATTCAGGATGGGATGGAGGGATGTCTCAGCAGTTCAGAGCACTTCTCATGCAATCATGAGGACCAGAGTTCAGATCCCAGCACCGTGTAACATGCCAGGCACCTGGCACATGCCAGTAACCCCAGTTCCAAGAGGAGTGGAGACAGGAGACCCACTAGGGCTTGCTGGCTTCCAGCCTAGCTGTGAAAAGTGTGAGCTCCAAGTTCAGGGAGAGACCTTGCTTCAAAGGACCAGGCAGAGAGTGAGAGAGGAGCTTGGCGCCATTTTCTGAATGCATAGGTACATATATCTGTGTGGGCACATGTGGATATGCACTCAGACACAGACACACAGAAAGACAGATGATGAATATAGATGGTTCATAGACAGATAGACAGATAGATAGAGGCAACTCCTATTTTAGGTCCATTTTATTCAAATCTCTCTCTTTTTCTTTTTGGTTTTTCAAGACAGGGTTTCTCTGTGTAGCCCTGGCTGTCATCCTGGAACTCGCTCTGTAGACCAGGCTGGCCTCAAACTCACAGAGATCCGCCTGCCTCTGCCTCCCAAGTGCTGGGGTTAAAGGCGTGCGCCACCACCGCCCAGCTCTCCAGGTGTTTCTAATTGTGGTGTCTTAAATTATGTTTGTGTGGGCTTTAAAGACAGGATGAAAACATGCTCAATAAAAGAAAAGTTTATTAAGAATAAGCTTTTAATTAACAGCACAGAGCAATCTGTATGCCAGATAGGAAAAGTGGAAGTGGATAATCAAATCTCAGAGAGTATGAAAACTCTACACAGACAAAAGAATGAGAGGAGAGGAAACACACCCAAGAGTGTTAGTGGCGCTTCAAGGAAGGTTGGTTTTGTTTCTGTAGTGTGCGCGTGCTTGTGTGCGTGCGTGCGTGCGTGCGTGCGTGTGTGTGTGAACCCAAAGCTTTGTGACTTGTGTTCTAACACTGAACTACACCCTCAGCTCCTTGTAATCATATTTCTTGACATGTTTCTCCATTTCCAAAGTTTCTGTAATGAGCTTCTAGTAATTTTGTAATTTAAAATAAGCAGATTCAAACTGGTGAGATGATTCAGTGGATACAGGCTCTTGTCACCAGGATAATGACCTGAGTTCCATCCCCAGTATACACACACACACACACACACACACACACACACACACACACACACACACACACTCGTAATGAAAGAATAATGTAAACACCTGCAATAATGGATTGTGGATTGTGGTGAAGAGAAACCCTGATACAATTGGAGGCCCAAATTGTTTTTAAAGAAAAAGAGTACTGGGCTTGCAGGATGGCCCACTGGGTAAAGCCTTTTGCTGTCACAACTGATGACCTGAGTTCAATTCCTGGGACCTACATGGTGGGAGAGAATTGACTCCTACAAGTTGTCCTCTGACCTCCAACAGATGTGTGCCCACACACATACATACACACACTTGTGTGCACACAAGAGAGCAAGAGAGTGAGCAAGTGGCACACACACACACAGAGAGAGAGAGAGAGAGAGAGAGAGAGAGAGAGAGAGAGAGAGAGAGAGAGAGAGAGAGAGGCAGAGAGACAATGAGAGACAGTTCTGCTGTCCTCTGGTATTTTACTTCCTGGAACACCTCAGATTGGGTTTTGCACTGACAGGCTGAAAGTGGTAGAACACGGCGGAATTCCACTTCTGAACCAGGCTCCCCTGGGAGCTTGCCCATCCATAGATTCCCCAGCCCTTCCGAATGAGCCCCCTGGCTGGCAGTCTCACAAGGTGATCATTATGGAGTCTGAAGTTGGACACCACACTGACTCTTTCAACAGGATGAGAATCTCCTGGGAGGCTTAAAAATACCCTCACGTCGGAGCCCTGCACCACCAGAGCAGTGGGACCCAAGCTGCTGGACGGAAGCTCTGAGCTGCCCCAGGTGACTCTCAGATGCCAGGAAGGGTAAAGAGCCACCAGCCTAACAAGGGAGATTCTCAGATGAGGCTCCGGTCAATGTCACCCAGAAGTTGTTAGTACTTCTGGGGAGGGTGGCTCGCTTTAAAAAAAAAAGAAGGAAGGAGGGGAGGGAGGGAGGGGGAGAGAGAGAGAGAGAACGATGATGAGAGAGAGAGAGAGAGAGAGAGAGAGAGAGAGAGAGAGAGAGAGAGAGAGAGAGAGAGAGAGAGAGAGGTGTATATGTCATACCAGGCTGGCCTCAAACTCACTATGTATCTATGGATGACTTTGAACTCCTGATCCTCTTGCCTCTGTCTCCAGAGTGCTGGAATAATGTGGTGCTGGCAATCAGCTCGGGAGCACTTTACCCGCTGAGGGAGAGCCCCTGCCTTTGCTATTCTGTTTGTTGAGGCAAAGCCTCACTCTGTAGCCCGGGTTGGCCTCAAACTTGTGGCTATCCTCCTGCCTCAGCTACAAGGTGCCACCGCGGCTGTTAGGGCTGGGGACAGACTTTGGAAGTTACTACTAGAATACAGCTGGCTGACACACCGGAGTCAGGCCCCGTGGCAGGCTGCTCCCGTGACTCCGTCCCCAGAGTGTGTAGAAAGAAAGGTATATACAGCCTTCTTGGGGTCCCCAGGGTAAGAAAGACGGGTAGGGAAACGTCTTCCATATACAGGAGACATTATACCCTAACATCGATGTCAGGTGAAGGCAAGGTCGGGGCGTGGGGAGGGGCGGGTAGAGCTATTCTTATATAGAGACAAGTCTCTAGAAATTACCTCCCAGTAGATGGTGTCCTCAAAGCAGTTTTCATCAGCAGCTTGTCCCCAGAATGGCAATTTCAAAATGAGTCCTAAACAGATTGGAGGACACGATGGTCAGAAAATACTCTCTGCTTACCCCAACTCTTTCCCTCAGATGGATGCCCCCCCCTCCACGTTCCCAGTCCCACAGCAGACAATACAGTTATCAGGTATTTCGGGGAGACCCAGGCCCACCCTTAAGACATGTTCTTGGGTCCCCCACTTAGTGAGTCCCCAACCAGGACCCCGTATTTTCTAGTGTAGCCGCTCTGACTCACCCACAATGATGCCGCCCACCAGGGCCATGGCCAAGGTCAGAAGGAGGCCGAATATCTGGGAACTGCCCTGCATTTTCCTGGTCTCGTCCGCCTTAGAGCCCCCAAAGCCAAATGTGTGGACTATCCTGGGGTAGAGACAGGAAGCAAGGGAGGGCTCCCCGGAGAGGCCAGGGAACTGATTAGCGCTACCTCCTGGATGTGCTCTTAAAACACTAAGCCTCCCTCCGCCTTCCCGACCAGATTGTTCCTCTCTTGAACCCATGGTGGCCGCTCTGAGGGTGGGGAGAGGGGCCGGTGAATGGTCTCGAGTGGAAATGAAGAGGGGGGAAGACACTCTTGGTCCCTCCCACAAAAGAAGGACTGGAGAATGGAGGAGGAAAACCCACTCACAGCTCCTCCACATTTACCCTGGCTCTCCGTACACATCAGGGGAGGAGTAGGCCGCTGTCACAGCACCCACGATGCTACCTATGATGCCAGGGATGCCATGCAGGTTGTGAATGCCACACGTGTCCTGGATGCGCAGGCGGGACTCCAGGAATGGCTAGGGGGAGGAGGGAAGGCGGCATTGCTCAGGGTGCGGCTGCGGCAGGGGCATGGGGAGGCCTTCAAAAACACAGACCCAGTGTCCCCTAAGCCTCGCCCCCTCGGTCTCTCCCGACTTTCAGGAACATAAACTCCCTACAGCATCCCCAGCCCCAGCCCTAGGGTCCTCACCGATAGGTACGCGAATCCTAGGGTGGAGAAGATGCCACAGAAGAAGCCCACGATGAGGGCGCCGTAAGGCGTGAGCATCATCTCCGCGGCTGTGCCCACGCCCACCCCGCCTGCAAGCGTAGCGTTCTGGATGTGCACCTGGGCAGGGTACGCAAAGTGTGCAAGCTCTCAGTTCTTTTCCTGGAGCCGTGGCCTGTGCTCACACACCTTGCAAAGCTGGGAGCTGGGAACAGCTCAGAGTCTGCCTCAGCAAGCCAGGAGCACGTAGAGGGCGTTGGCCTTGGCCCAAGCTGAGTACAGCCGCTTCGTGTGCTCTGCAGGCAAGTCCCCCCACAACCCCCAGCAGGCCTGGACATGTTCTGTGCCCACGAGGCAGTGTGCTGCTGGACACATCCATGGGCCCTAAAAACCCATCTGCATATTTCCTTTTTCTCCATGTCTACCTGTGGGCCAGTGGGCATATCTGAGTGCAGGCTGTGTCTACACCAGGTATTTGTGGGCCCCTGTGCATGCCCAGCTGCTACCAATGTTCTTTGTCAGCTATGGCAGGTCCTGTGCTGCTGGCTCCTCTAAGTGTGTGACCTGGGACAGCTTTAAAAAGTCCAAGAGGCCAGTGGTGTCAGGAGGATGAAGACCTGGTAGAGGAGACACCACACACACACACACACACACACACACACACACACACACACACACACACACTGGTAACTCTGCTAGGCAGGCCTGATGTGATACTCAACCAGCACTGGCTAATAGCATCTCAGGCTGTGGGGAGGCCATGGACATTTGGCAGGGATGACCCACTGTGAACATCCAGGTTTGGGTGTGCCCATCTAGAAGCTGCCTACCATGATGAGGTGTAGGCAGGGCATGGCAGTCAGATAGGTACCTCCCCCCCCCCCCCCCCCCGAGGCCCTCCTGCTCACCATGTCCAGCTTGCCCTTCTTGTGAATGATACTGGACACTGCCACTGTGGTTAGTACACTGGCCGCCAAGGAGAGGTAGGTATTGAGAGCTGCTCGGTGTTGGGTGTCTCCGTGGGAGGAACTGGCTGAATTGAAGCTGGGCCAGTATATCCACAGGAAGAGGGTGCCTGGGTCAGAACACATGCAGGACAGGGGCCAGGAGAGGGGGTGTTAGGCCAGGCTCACAGAGCCTAAGCAGAGGCCCTGCCTTTCAGCTCCAGAGATGTCCAGCTGCTTCCAACCTATGAGCATCACTCCCACTCAGGCTCCTTCTAGAAGGCTCTTCTGGCCCAACTCACCTAGATCCCACTGGGCCTCCCATACCACTTCACAAAGCCTTCTCTATCTCCCCAACCCTAGGGCTGGTTACATGCCCCCCATGCTTATAGCATCATATGGGAGAGTCGCTCCCCCTCTGTAGACAGATTAGCTGGTGGCACTGCCATCTCCCAGTCTACAGGACGATGGAAGGAAGGGCTGAGTCTGATAGACATCTTATGTCATGGGGACCAAGTGGCCAGTTCTTGTTGCCCTTCTGCCTTGGGGTGTTCCATAAGGGAGAGAATTGGACACCCAGGACTCCAAGTACTGACAGGCTGCTTCATTCTGCCCCTCCTTCCAAAGAACCAGTAGTAGTCACCCACTGATCATGTGGAGATCAGGGGTGATCATGACAATATTCACCCACCGCGGCAGACCCTCAGACATGCGTAATCATCCTCACCCACTTACAGTGGTCCTCACCCACTTACAGTGGTCCTCACCCACTTACAGTGGTCCTCACTCACTTACAGTGGTCCTCACTCACTTACAGTGGTCCTCACTCACTTACAGTGGTCCTCACCCACTTACAGTGGTCCTCACCCACTTACAGTGGTCCTCACTCACTTACAGTCACCCACTTACAGTGATCCTCACCCACTTACAGTGGTCCTCACCCATTTACAGTGGTCCTCACCTACTTACAGTGGTCCTCACCCGTTTACAGTGGTCCTCACCCGTTTACAGTGGTCCTCACCCGTTTACAGTGGGCCTCACCCACTTACAGTGGTCCTCACTCACTTACAGTGATCCTCACCCACTTACAGTGGTCCTCACCCGTTTACAGTGGTCCTCACCCACTTACAGTGGTCCTCACTCACTTACAGTGGTCCTCACCCACTTACAGTGGTCCTCACCCACTTACAGTGGTCCTCACCCGTTTACAGTGGTCCTCACCCACTTACAGTGGTCCTCACCCACTTACAGTGGTCCTCACTCACTTACAGTGGTCCTCACCCACTTACAGTGGTCCTCACCCACTTACAGTGGTCCTCACTCACTTACAGTGATCCTCACCCACTTACAGTGGTCCTCACTCACTTACAGTGGTCCTTACCCACTTACAGTGGTCCTCACCCACTTACAGTGGTCCTCACTCACTTACAGTGGTCCTCACTCACTTACAGTGGTCCTCACTCACTTACAGTGATCCTCACCCACTTACAGTGGTCCTCACTCACTTACAGTGGGCCTCACCCACTTACAGTGGTCCTCACTCACTTACAGTGGTCCTCACTCACTTACAGTGGTCCTCACCCACTTACAGTGGTCCTCACCCACTTACAGTGGTCCTCATCCGTTTACAGTGGTCCTCACTCACTTACAGTGGTCCTCACTCACTTACAGTGGTCCTTACCCACTTACAGTGGTCCTCACCCATTTACAGTGGTCCTCACTCACTTACAGTGGTCCTCACTCACTTACAGTGATCCTCACCCACTTACAGTGGTCCTCACTCACTTACAGTGGGCCTCACCCACTTACAGTGGTCCTCACTCACTTACAGTGGTCCTCATCCGTTTACAGTGGTCCTCACCCACTTACTGTGGTCCTCATTCACTTACAGTGGGCCTCACCCACTTACAGTGGTCCTCACCCACTTACAGTGGTCCTAACCCACTTACAGTGGTCCTCACCCACTTACAGTGGTCCTCACTCACTTACAGTGGTCCTCACCCACTTACTGTGGTCCTCACTCACTTACAGTGATCCTCACTCACTTACAGTGATCCTCACCCACTTACTGTGGTCCTCATTCACTTACAGTGGGCCTCACCCACTTACAGTGGTCCTCACCCACTTACAGTGGTCCTCACTCACTTACAGTGGTCCTCACTCACTTACAGAGGTCCTCACCCACTTACAGTGGTCCTCACCCACTTACAGTGGTCCTCACTCACTTACAGTGGGCCTCACCCACTTACAGTGGTCCTCACTCACTTACAGTGGTCCTCACCCGTTTACAGTGGGCCTCACCCACTTACAGTGGTCCTCACTCACTTACAGTGGTCCTCACTCACTTACAGAGGTCCTCACCCACTTACAGTGGTCCTCATTCACTTACAGTGGTCCTCACCCGTTTACAGTGGTCCTCACCCACTTACAGTGGTCCTCACTCACTTACAGTGGTCCTCACCCACTTACAGTGGTCCTCACTCACTTACAGTGATCCTCACCCACTTACAGTGATCCTCACCCACTTACAGTGGTCCTCACTCACTTACAGTGATCCTCACTCACTTACAGTGATCCTCACTCACTTACAGTGATCCTCACTCACTTACAGTGGTCCTCACCCACTTACAGTGGTCCTCACCCACTTACAGTGGTCCTCACTCACTTACAGTGATCCTCACTCACTTACAGTGGTCCTCACCCACTTACAGTGGTCCTCACCCACTTACAGTGGTCCTCACTCACTTACAGAGGTCCTCACTCACTTACAGTGGTCCTCACTCACTTACAGTGGTCCTCACCCACTTACAGTGGTCCTCACCCACTTACAGTGATCCTCACTCACTTACAGTGATCCTCACTCACTTACTGTGGTCCTCACTCACTTACAGTGATCCTCACTCACTTACAGTGGTCCTCACCCACTTACAGTGGTCCTCACCCACTTACAGTGGTCCTCACCCACTTACAGTGGTCCTCACCCACCTACAGTGGTGGTTCTTATCGTTATGGGTGCTCCTCTCTCCATTCATCATGGTGACCTTCACTCATCACGGCAGTCTTTCAACTACTCAGAGTTGTTCTGATCCATTCATAGCAGGTCTGACCAATCACAGCAGCCCTCACCGGTATGGCAACACTCCCCCACCATGGTGGCCCCCACAGACATAGCCGACGTCGCCCACCATGGCTGCCCTTACCAACATGACAGCTGTTAGTTCTCACCGATCATGGCAAAAAGGTCCGAGTGGTACACAGAACTCTGTCTCTGCTTGCTCTGCTCCAGGTTTTTTCGGTAGAGGATCCAGGTCACTGTGAGCCCAAAGTAGGCGCCAAATGTGTGGATGGTCATAGAGCCCCCTGCATCCTTTGCCTGGAGTGCAAGGGGCCTGTCAGGGCCTGGCACACTTCCCCCCTCCTTCCTCACCGTCCTCCCCACCCCACACATGTGCACACATGTCTCTGACCCCAGCTGGGGAACACAGAGCCTATCTCCCTGTCCCACTGTCCTTTTTTTTTTTAAGTGTGTGTGTGTGTGTGTGTGTGTGTGTGTGTGTGTGTGTGTGTGGTTGTTTTTTGTTTGTTTTGTCAATTTGACACAAACTAGGGTCATCTGGGAAGAGGGACCCTCAACTGAGAAAATACCTCCATCCCACTGATCTATAAGCAAGGCTGCAGGGCACTTTCTCGATGGAGGAGGGCCAGCCTTGGATAGGTGGTTCTGAGCTGTGTAAGAAAGCAGGCTGAGCGAGCCCTGAGAAGCAAGCCAGGAGGCAGCACTCCTCCATGGCCTCTGCTTCCGTTCCTGCCTCCAGCTGCCTGCCAGGACTTCCTTCGGTAATGGACGACTGTCAAACAGAAGTCTAAGCCAAAGGAGCCTTTTCCTTCCCGAGTTGCTTTTCATCGTGGTGTTTCATCACAGCAACAGGAACCCCAAGACAGTTCCCACAGCAGCCAATCGAGCAGAGGGAGGCAGGGACGTTGGCTGGCCAGTCAACAAAACGCCAGGGCCCTGTCCTCTTGTCCTCTTGTCCTCTCCTCTGCTTGGTGAGCTGGTCTGGCTTTGACTGCCTGTGGAGGGGAGGCCTCTGGCCTACCAGGCTGGTGGTAGCGCCCTCTGCTGGGTTGCCTAGCCCTGCAGCCTGCTCCCCTCTGCCTGCGGCCTTCAGCAGGGCTCAGCAGAGCCTCAGACTCTGAAATCTGAGTACGTCTGATGCACCGGCCAGGTGCTGGGGCAGACAGCATCCAGACATACAAACAGGCCCCCAAGTGCTATGAAGAAAACAGACAGAAGCCCTGTGAGAGCCGTGCCGGGGAGGGACACCAGGGAGGACAGCAGGCCGCGCCTCTCCGAAGTAACATTCAGGCGGCGGGGCGGGGGCGGGGCGGGGAGGGGGAGGCTGGAGCCTGAATTTGTAGAGTCAAGTTCGATTTTATCCTAAGTGAAATGAAAGCTGTTGGTAGCTCTTAATCGAGGGAGCGGTCTTCTGTGTCTGGTGAAAAGCCTACTCTGGCTCCTGGTGGAGACTGGCCTGGCTTAGAGGAGAACAGAGTCAAGCCTGGGCATGAGTCAGAGATGAGCGAGCCGGTGGTTGGGTACTAAAAAGGAATGGCCGGGGGACTGAGTGGAGTTTAGAGTCATCTAAACCCCTCCCCCCGGGTAGGGAGTGTTCCAGGCTGGGTTCAAATGTGGAAGCGGAGGCTCAGAAATGCAGAAGGCAATAAGGTGATGCATAATGATATCTCCTCCACACTGAGGCACCAGGAAGGTTCCCGAGAGTCAGAGGTCTATGGCGCTGTTAGCCAGTTCATGGAATCAGCCAAACCCAAAGCACAGCACTCTTGCCACAGCCCATGTGAATGGCATTCCTGGGGTTGTGGCATTCACAGCCAGTGCTTTTGTATAGGGTCACTTCTCTGGGATCCCTCCTGGCAGATTTATCCTCAACGTATTGAGTTTTTTCCTTGGGAGAAAGATCTAGGGATGTATGCATGCCAAAGTATGTGCAGGAATGTCCCACTCTTTCCATCTGATGGAAGAGAAAGGAAGTAGAAAAACTAACCCAAATTCAGAGAAGGCCTGCTCTGCCCAGATGTGTTAGGTAGACAATGATTTCGCTAGGGAGGCGTCGTGATTCCTAATTTGTAGATGAAGAAACTGGGATGCAGGAAGCTGAATGGCTTGGCAGGTTGCACATATCCACAGACCTCTCTTTCTTTACCCCTCTTTCTCTCCCCCAATGTCTCCCTCCCCCTCCTAAGCTTTGCTCACCTCTATCAGGTTCAGGAGGATATACTCATTCACTGTGAAGAGGGTCACTTGGAAGAAGGTCATGATAAGCAGTTGGACTGGGCTGATCTTGCCTAGAACTGCCCCAAAGGCCACACAGGTAGATGCCACACAGAAGTCAGCTTCGATGATGCTATAGAGAGACAGACCAGTGAAGAGCTGCAGCTACAAACCAGAAGTGACATGGCAAACCTTTGGTCCTCTGGACTGAGGCTGGTGGTTTACTCTTTGTGAGCCTCTCGGTGATAATGGGCTCATCACAGTTAGGGCCATGTATGCATAGTATATGTGGTGAAAAGCCTACTCTGGCTTCTGGTGGAGACTGGCCTGGCTTAGAGGAGAACAGAGTCAAGCTTGGACATGAGTCAGAGATGAGAGAGATGGTGGTTGAGTACTAAAAAGGAATGGCACAGGGATTGGCTGGAGCTTAGAGTGACCTAAACTCCCCCCCCCCCCCCCCCCCCCCCCCGGGTAGGGAGTGTTCCAGGCTGGGCTCAGATGTAGGAGAGGCTCAGAAATGCATAAGGTAGTCAAATAATATCCTCCTCCACACTGAGGCACCAGGCAAGTTCTGGAGTCGCAGTGTGAGCCATGCCTTCCCCTGGCAGCCCCATGCCTTGTGGGCAGCTTATGCTCAGGGAACTGAGTGGTCTAGCCATTGTTGTTGAGCAACCCCCGTACTTAGGGCACAACCCTGCCCCGTTTTCTGCTTGCCTTCCCAGAACCTCCTCTTATTGCTTCTGTTTGCCAAAAGTCTTCCTCAGTCTCTCCAATGTGGCCTCTGCTCCAGACCCTGAGTGCTCACTACACACTCACCCGTCCCTACCACTGCCATGGCCTTCTGGGGTTTGGCTACTGGGTTCTTCCTGCCACTTTACCCACAAGGAAGGGTCAGTGTCCACAGAAGAGAGAGAGGGGCCTTCCCACAGGAGGTAAAGATCTAGAGTAGTACTGGGCATAAGGAGGGGGCAGGAAGGCCCAAAGAAAGGATGGGGCAAAAGGAGGCACACAGTCTCTCCTCAGTTCTGAAGTGCACAGCCCAGCCGCCCCAGCAAAGGGATTGAGGAGAAGTGGACATCTACTGCAGCCACACCATGCCCACACCCGCCGGAGACCCTGCTTCTGCCCACCACCCTGCCAGCAGCAAGGCTACCCTGCATTCTCAAGCAGACTTCCAGTGTGGCACCTGAGACCATGACAGCTGCCAGTAGGGTGGGTGGAGGGAAAAAGGATTGCTTCCTCAAGGCTGTCGAATATAGAGCAGATCCTCCTCATGTTCAAGGGTGTATGTAAAACACGGATCAGGGTGAAACAATCTAATTGAGGGCCCATCTGTGGAATGAGGGCACCTCTCAGAGGACATTTACAGAATGTCTCCTCCACTGCTAACCTTGTTCAGTGCTGTGTCTGCAGGGTCTGGCTGAAAGGGTGCTGGGCGACTGAGTGCTAGTCACATGCCCTCTTGAACCATCCCCCCCCCCCCCCCCGACTACAAAAGGTGGGTACTTCTCATCACCAACAGTTCACAGCTCTGATATGAAGGCTCAGGGAGGCCCAGCGACTTGCCCAAAGTTCTCCAGCCGCACGCCAAAGAGCCATCTGATGGAGGTGCTCTTTAGGAGGGAGAAAGAGGAAGAACAGAAAAGCTGGGCTTCTGCTCATCGATATCTGGGAGGTGGATCTGGGTACCACATTTTAAGGGGCTCAGGGAGGCCTGAGCAGAGCTCACAGAGGAGAACTGCCCCAGCGTGGCGGATGAGCACAGCCAGAGCAGATGTCAGAAGCGTACCCACACCTCTAGACGCACAGGCCAGTTCTGGGGACAACAGGCTCACCCCAGGCTTGGACTCCCGACATTGGCTCCTGGCCAGTAGCTGGAATCCAAATCCCCAAAAGCCAGTTTGCCCAGACTCTCTTTATCAAGTGACCAGCTTGCTGAGTAAGTAGCTCAGCTCAAACTTGCTAACTCAGAGTTTGTAACCACTCTTTCGAGAAAAAAAAATTTTTTCCTCTTGTGTCATAGTTTTCTTCCGTAGTGGCTAATTAGATATATAACGGGCGCATCCATACTTCGGGCCGATGGTACTGAGGATATCTTGTGCATTTTGAACTTGGGGGAGATAGGCTTGTCACCGTCTGTCCCGTTTCTTTTGTGTGTCACTAACTGGCTTGAGTGGCTGATCTTTTACACGTTTCATTTTCAAGCGTCTGGCTGATGACGCTTGGCTGGTACTCTACCTGTAGCAGCAGGTCTGGTGGTTTGAGTGAGAAATGGACCCCAGTCACTTGAACTGTAGGTTCCCAGTTGATGGAGCTGTTTGGGGAAATCAGGAGGCGTGGCCTGATGGAGGAACTGCGTCACTTGGGGGCAGGCTTTGGGAGTATTTAGTCTCCACCCTATTTCCCCGGCTTGCAGTTGATCATGCCATCCTCCCAGCTTCCTGATCCTGTTGCCAAGCCTTCCGGTCATGGTAGACTCCTGGGTCTAAAGCCCTAATAAATAAGCCCTTCCTTCTACAGGTTGCCTTTGGTCATGGTGTTTTATCGCGGCAACAGAGAAGTGACCAATGCAGCAGAGACTTGCCCTTTGCGTGTGGTTTTAGATCCATTTGCTCCTGCACTCTTTCTGTGGGCTTGATGAGCAGACTAACGAGTTCCCAGCGCCACTGGCCACTTTCTGAAATAAGAACTTTCCCCCGCTTTAGCCAAACGCCTCTTAATGTTTGCACAGCTAGAAGGCCATCTGAACTGACTCCGTGAAGGACACGCCGTAACCTGAAAGTGGGTGCAAACCGGGAGCTGTCCCCCACCGTTTGGGTCCATGAAGTCCACAGCTGCAAGTCCAGAGGCCAAGGTGTGAGAGAACGGTTTTGCTTGTTGGTTTTTGACGAGTTGGTTTGCGGGGGATCTGTTATGTTATTGGTGCTGTGGTGGGTTGGGGAGGCTCAGAGAAGGCCACTTCACTATGGAGGAAAGTGCGGTACCGGGTGGGAAAGGGCTGGTGACACTCGTCACAGAAGTCACTTAGAAGGCTGCAGGTGGGAGAAGGGGCTGGTGCCCCACTCTGCGAGGCCAATCCAGAAGGCTTCACCTGGGAGCCCGGGCGCACACTCACACCAGCCTTCCAGCTCTTCTCAATGCTCATTCTGCCCAGAAGAGGTGGGGCGCAAGGAGAAAGGGACTCCATTTGGGGGAGTTCCCTATTTCAATGTCCTCCCAGCAAGGAGCCTTCTGAGGCTAGCTCAGGCATCTGGCCCTCCCTCCCTCCTGGGTCCCTGGGGTTGTAATTTCAGTGTGTCACGAATGAGGGCTTGGGTCCTTCCTTCCACTTCTTGAGAAAAGACTGTCCTCCACCACGGGGAGAGAGACCCTCCCGCAGTACCTGACTAACATTACAACCTTCACCTGGAGAGTAGCGATGAGAAAACAATGTGTGGGGACCACAACTGCGGGTGTCCATCACCGAACCAAGGTGTCCTGAAGGAAGAGCCGCCGCATCCCAAAACCTCAGAGCCCACCCTCACCATCACTCTTCTTCCTGTCCCTGCCCACTCCCTCTCATGCCCCAGCCTCACCGCCTCTCCCTCACTGCACCCGCACCACCATCCCTGCCAGGCCTTCTGAGCCTTTCCCAGTTTTGCTCACCCACCCACCCGCCAGGTCCTCCCTATCCCCACAGGACCCGCCCCAATCCAGACCCTGCCGGGACTCCTGTGCCACGCCCTCTCCACCCTCCTCCCCCAGGATCCACCCCCAGCCAAGACCCGCTAGAGATCACCGCTCAGTCTACCTGCGCCCCCTCCCCGCCCAGGGCGCACCCCACCCCTGCAGGACGGCCCTCCCCCGCCCGGACCCTGGCCAGCCCATCCCGCCCGCCCGCCCCTCGAACTCTCGGGGACTCACTTCTTGACGCTCAGGATAATGTGGCCTCCTTCGTAGAAGCGGAACCAGCCCTGCATGAGCAGCGCCCACTGGATGCCGAAAGCTGCCAGCAGGAAGTTGAAGCCCACGGCGCTGAACCCGTAACGCTGCAGGAAGGTCATGAGGAAGCCGAAGCCCACGAAGACCATGGCGTGCACGTCCTGGAAGCCTGCCGGGAGAGCGCAGTTGAAGGGCTCTGCTGTCTAGAGAAGGTCCACCATGACTTTGAGTCTGACAGGCCAGCACAGCCTAGGACAGCTCAGTCAGTGCCAGAACCAGGAGCCCTGGCTCCCTCTTCCCCTTATCCCTGCCCGCCTCTTCCCTGCAACCAGACTACAGCTGGCTGGCAGTAAGAAGAGGCCTCTTGATTGGTACAAATAGGCACTACTCTCACCTTAAGGTTCTCTGGGGGGAGCCAGGGGACTAGAGGTGGGTCCCCACATTAGACCCTTGGGTTATAGGGTCAAGAAGAGGACTGAGAGCACCCTTGGGAGGTGACAGTTTTCTTGTTCCACCCTCCCTCCGGATGGCACACTGCTGGTCCACATGGGTGGGCAGCTAAGCTTTTGATGTGTTTATCTCCCCCGCCCCTCCTGGTTGTGGACTACAGGGCCTTCACTCATGTGCTTTATCAATGAGTTTCTTCCACAGGCCCTGGGCATTTGGATTTGAGGCTAAGCTATGAGTTTTACTCAGGGCCCAGAGTCTCGAGCACAGATCATCTGAGGTCATGTAGCCTTGCTCTCTCCACTGTAACCCTTTCCTCAGGGAGAAGAGTCACTGCTAATATGAGTCAGCAGGACCTTGGCAGGCTGAGCACAGTCGCACATAACTACTCATGTCCACACACCCCCACCACCTCCACCAAATGCACTTCCTCCAACCATGCTGTGGGAGAAGTTATCTCCCTCCCCCTGGCCTCCCCCCCACACACCAAATGCACTTCCTCCAACCATGCTGTGGGAGAAGTTATCTCCCTCCCCCAGGCCTCCCCCCACACCAAATGCACTTCCTCCAACCATGCTGTGGGAGAAGTTATCTCCCTCCCCCAGGCCTCCCCCCCCACACACACACCAAATGCACTTCCTCCAATCATGCCATGGTGTTCCGTCTTCTGGATGGATGGCTGTTACCAAACAGACTTGGGGCTCAGCACGTTTTATAATGCCACCTCACAGATGTTGCAGAGGTTAAATACAGATGTGTATGAAAAGTTCTTGGCAGAGTGTGTACCCATATCAAGTGACCCAACTGGGCAGTTGTCTTTATCTATTATTGCTCAAGCATTGCCTCAGTTTCCAAGTCTGACCCGACTTCTAACTCAGTGTGACCCTGGCAAGCCACTTCTCCATTCTGAGCCTGGGTTTCTGATAAAACTTTTGGGATGAACTAGAATGATTTGGGAAGGGCTAGGGTGATCTAAACTGTTCTCTGAGCACTAATACTGCTTGCTTTTAGAGCCCGAGAAAACAAGAGAAGGCAAAGAGCTTTGACAAGTGAAAACTTGAGTGCAGTGGTGGCGCACGCCTTTAGTCCCAGCACTCGGGAGGCAGAGGCAGGCGGATCTCTGTGGGTTCGAGGCCAGTTTGATCTACCGAGTGAGTTCTAGGAGAGCCAGAGCTAAACACAGAGAAACACTGTTTTGGAGTGGGGGTGGGGTGGGAGTGGAGCCCAGACAAGTGAAAACTGAATAGAAATAAGACACAAAGGAACCATGGATGCCACAGGACACAAAGAGCCAGACAGAAGGGCTCCCATTGGACTCATCTGGGGCAATTGAAGCACCAAAATAATGGTTTCTCATAATAAGTTACAGTCATTTACATACAGGAATCCGTGAGTCCAGGCTGATAATAAATAGGTAAAAATGGACAGGGTAACAAAGGGGACTCTTGCCTGCACTAGAATGCTGAGAATCCTGTTTAAAATATGGGTAGAGAGTTAGGACTGGCAAAAATCACCGTTTTCACAGCAACAGCTCAATGGGTGATGCTAAGTGCAGAGGGAAATTCCAAGAAGAGCAGGGCTTTTGCCCTGTCCCAAAGGTTCTGCCAACAAATGACTCATTGGTCTCAAGGGAGGAACAAACAATAGTAATTGCAGAGAGGAAAAATTAGGTTACATATTAACTGGGGGAATAAAAATTAACATGTCCAATGGTGGCAGAAGGACATTGTGTGCCTCCAGATGGGACATTCTAGAAAGGATGTGTCCCCTAGTATCCCCCATAGGGTGCTCTCCCTGAGACTGCAGGGACAAATTTAATAATGAAAAACAATTGGACACAGAACGAGGAGTCTATTGTTCAAAGGGGTTGAGGCCGAGGCAGGGCATAATGGCGCATGCCTTTGTTAGCCCAGGGACTCCGGCAGGAAGATGGCAAATCTGAGGCCAGCTTGTGCCTTGTAGTAAGACCTTGTCTCCAAAACAAAACAAAACCATAGTGGTGAAGCTGTACTCCTGGAAATTAT